TACGAAAATAATAATATTGGATATATGCTAGAAGCGGATTTAGAATATCCTAAAGAATTACACGATTTACACAACGACTACCCAATGGCACCTGAGGTTATGAATGTTAAAGCCGACATGCTGTCAGACAAACAAATTGAAATTTATGAATCGTTAAATCGTACAAAACCTGCGGATGAGAAGACACATAAACTAATTTCAAATTTGAATAACAAGAAAAATATGTAGTCCATATAAGAACTTTACAATTCTATTTGGGAAAATGATTAAAACTTAATAAAATTCATAGAGCAATTAAATTTGACCAAAAAGAAGTTTCAAAACCATACATTGAATTTAACACTGAGAAGAGGAAGAATGCTAGAAATGATTTTGAAAAAGATGTGTATAAGTTAATGAATAATACAGTATTTGGAAAAACAATGGAGGATAAGCGAAAACATTTAGACTTTGAAGTTGTGAGTGATGAAACTAAATATATGAAATGTGTTAATAATCCTTCGTTCAAAATAGTCATATCATTAATGAAAATCTGGTAGGAGTTGAAAAGCAAAAAGCAAAGTTGAAACTAGATAAACCTATATTCATGGGTATGACTACTTTAGATTTAAGTAAGCAACATATGTATAGTTTTTATTATGATGTTATGAAACCTAAATATGGTGATAATATCAAAATGGTATATACTGATACTGACAGTTTTGTTTTACATACTAAAACTGACGACATTTATGAAGACTTGAAAAGTATAAAGCGAGAAATGGATTTCAGTAGTTATTCTAAAGAGCATAAATGTTATGATACTAACAATAAAAAAGGTCTTAGGTAAATTCAAATGTGAAGCCGACGGGGAAATAATTACAAACGTTATTGACCTTCGCCCTAAATGCTACTCATTCAAAATCTTAGGTGATGAAAAAGAATATAAGAAGTGTAAGGGTGTAGCAAAAGGAACAGTGAGACGTCAAATGAAATATGAAGAGTTTGATAGGGTTTTGAAAACTAACGAAGTTGTACATAAATCATTTAATAATATTAGAAGTAAAAACCATAGAATATTTAGTATTACCACTAATAAAGTTGCCCTTAACAGTTATGAAAATAAAAAGTTTTGGTCAGATAGTATAAACTCACTTGATTACGGCCATTATAAAATAAATTGCTTGAACACGACTTAGAGAAATACTGACTTAATATATTAAGAGGAAAATGACACTGTTTAACTATAGTAAGTGTGAATGTTGCAATAATAAAAGAATGATATTGATTTTACATTGTATAACTTATTACCTGCTAATCTGTGTAATAAAATAAGTGAGTATAATGTATATTGTAACCAGTGCTGTATAACTAGAGACCTTGAACACTTTTTTGTTAAAGAACATAAGGACAAGGGATATACACAATTCCAGTTGCAATTGAAATTATTTATGACATATCAAAAACGATTTCCTGTATGTTTTACCATAAAATTGCAAGAAAGTCGATTGAAAAAGACATGAGTTCTTTAATAAGCAGTAAACCTTATAAAGCATTTGTTAAAAAAATCGTGATATGGTTGAAGTGATTGATTGGCATTTATTAAGCAAAGATAACGTAAAAGAAGTATTAAATGAGTTTGGAGCAGATAAGAAATGTATATGGTATTATCACAATACTAAGTTTGAAATATGCCTATTGATTACTTTATTCTTTTGGGAATACATATGTAGATTACATATTTGAAGACATATTGCCTGACCATAATTTCAGTCCTTAATTCTTAATTGAAATATAATTATAACATGTAAAGTCTTATATGTTGCAACTATGCTTATGGGTTGTTTCTTCATTTTCTTAATGCCTTTAAAAAAGTGACTTAAAGAAATAGTGCCTTAATATAATAAGAGAAAAATGAATGGTGATGAAATCAATAATTATATCAATAAGAAATGCTATGATTGTTGTCACTTCAAAAAGGAAAAATGGAATTATACAAATTAAATTTACCTAATGGAATAATAAATAATATTATCGATTATGCTTTGGGTAAAGAATATTTATGCAAAATTTGTAGAAATTGGAGGTTTCATCAACAAATAATTGAAAATCATTTAGATATTAAAATGTTGAATGAAAGAAATGTAGAAGAAATGCCACCTTATAGTTATGTTAGAGCATTTCTGAAAATCAGTGAGAAAAGTATGCAATGATAGACCGCATATTATGGATGTTGGTTTATCATCAAAAGGAAGGAGAAGATATTAAACAAAATATCAAATTATTTATTGAAAGTAAAAAGTTTAATGTTAAAAACACAGTTAGAGATATTATTTTAAAAATCATGTATGAAAGAAGTAAGATGTATCATTTAAATTATTATCCTGAACTGAAATTATAATCAGAGTATAATAATAACATGTAAAATCTTATATGTTGTAATTATACTATACTTATGGTTTGTAAAGATTGAAATATTATTTTTCCTTAATTTGCTTGTCTCTTTCAAAGTGCGTTGTTTGAACTTGGCATGCTCTTTGATTTTTTCGTTCTTTGGCCGTTTGTATTTGTTTTGTTTGATACTCTTCTGATATTCTTCCCGAAAGCATGGCGAAGGGTTCTTCCGCTGGGTTCACTTGAGTTGTTCTCATGAGAGTCATTACAAGGTGTCATTGCAAGGAATCATCATCATGAAAGTCATTGCAAGGAGTCATTGCAAGGAGTCATTGCAAGGAGTCATTGCAAGGATCATTGCAAGAGAGTCATTGCAAGCATTGCACAAACTTGACTCCTGTGCACTTGACTCCTTGCACTTGCAACTTGCACTTGACTCCATGCACTTGGCTCTGCAACTTGACTCACTCCTTTGCAATGACTCCTTGCAATGACTCCTTGCAATGACTCCTTGCAATGACTCCTTGCAATGACTCCTTGCAATGACTCCTTGCAATGACTCCTTGAAACAAGCAAGGAGTCAAGTGCAAGTTGCAAGTGCAAGGAGTCAAGTGCAATTGACTTGCGAGGAGTTAAAATCTCTTCTTAGGGCGGCGGGGTAGTGCCGACGACACTACACGAAAACCGACCCTCTGCGGGGATCGGCGTGGTCGAGGTGCAAGAACCCATGGTTTTTTGCGATTTCTAACATGCCCGCGCGACCCTCTGCGGGGATCGGCGTCGAGGTGCAAAAACCCATGTTTTTTTGCGATTTCCAACATGCCCGCGCGACCCTCTGCGCGGATCGGCGTGGTCGAGGTGCAAAAACCCATGGGTTTTTTTTGCGATTTCTGCGGTGCTCGCGCAACCCTCTGCGGGGATCGGCGTGGTCGAGGTGCAAAAACCATGGTTTTTTGCGATTTCTGCGGTGCCCGCGCAACCCTCTGCGGGGATCGGCGTGGTCGAGGTGCAAAAACTCGAGGTTTTTTTGCGATTTCTGCGGTGCTCGCGCAACCCTCTGCGGGAATCGGCGTGGTCGAGGTGCAAAAACTCGAGGTTTTTTGCGACTTTTGTTGTTCGAACTGGTCCTCGGGAGTTGTCTCGTGGTTCGCGCGCCTGCTCCCGGAACCGGCGGGTCGCGGGTTCGATTCCTCCCTGGTCCGCGGGCGGGCGTCGCAAGATGCAACTTGCATTTTAAAGCAACTTGCGCAGAGCAACTTGCGCAGAGCAAGTTGCACAGAGCAACTTGCGCAGACCAACTTGCACCGACCAGTTTGCGCAGAGCGCCTTGCCTAGAGCAACTTGCGCAGAGCAACTTACGCAGAGCAACTTGCACAGAGCAACTTGCACAGAGCAGCTTGCACAGAGCAACTTGCAGGGAGCGCAATTTGCACAGAGCAACTTGCAGGGAGCCACTTGCAGGGACCAACTTGCCGGAGCAACTTGCGCGGAGCAACTTGCGCAGAGCAACTTGCACAGTGCAACTTGCGTAGAGCAACTTGCGCAGACCAACTTGCACCGACCAGTTTGCGCAGAGCACCTTGCCTGGTGCTGTCTCGCGCTTGCTTCACAAATGCTTCGTGTAGGGATGCAGCGTTGGGCCGACCTCGCTTGCGATGTTCTGCTTTCGGGCCAACCGTGGTCTAGTTTTTATTGTTATGCTGCTTTGAAATTTGTTAGTGTGTGTGTGTTTGAGTTTGTGTTCTTTGATGGTTTTTAGTTTTGCTGTTTTGTTAGTATGCTTGTTTGAGTTGTTTAATGTTGTATGCTGTGATGTTATTTTTTGTTTGTTGGTTGTTCTTATTTATTTTGTTTGCTTGTTGTTCTTATTTTTGTTTGCTATTTGATGTGTTGCTGTTAGAAAAAACATAGTAAATGGACAATTCCTTGAATTGTCCTTTACAAAAAAAATGGGGGGGGGGGGGGCAGCCCCCCCCATGATGTTCCAAAAAAAAGATGATTCAACTAGGGGTGCAATTAAATCTCTGTAGAAAATCTAAAACGTAGTGGGGGGGTTGGTGGGGGCGGCAGCCCCCATGATGGTTGAAGAAGCGTTGATTCAAATAGGGTGCAATTACTCTGCAAACAATCTAAACAGTAGCGGGTGGGTTGGCGGGGTGGGCTTCCCCCCCCATGATGTTCGAAGAAGTGATGATTCAAATAGGGAGGGACTGGTGATGCTGATGATGCGGAAGCCAAATCCAAACATGAAAGGGTGCAAAAGCCAAAAAGCCCAGAGAGGAACTGTGAAAGCAGAGGATGCGAAAAGCCAAAGCCCCCAAAAGTCGCATAAACCAGCGAAAAGCCGCAATAGCTAAAACGCAACCTGCCGAAGAGGAACTGGGAATGCAGAGGATGCGAAAAGCCAAAGCCAAAAAGCCACCAAAAGAAGCCAAGAAGCCAAGAAGCTAAGAAGCCGAGAAGCCAAGAAGCCAAAAGCGGCGGGAAAAATATAAAAGTTCCTAAAATAAATACCCCTCCATTGGAAATTGGGCAAGATTTCCGGGCACGTGACAGCCCTATGATGGCAAGCATGACGGCAAGCAAATGGAAGTACAGTCTCACTACGCACTTCTTGAAACCCAGGCCTCCTGCGGGTGGCAGTTCTCAGGTCGGGCCTCAGAGACATGTCGAGGCACCGAGGCACCTCTTCAGAACTTCAGGCTGCCACATGCCCCAGCTCGCCATAAGGGCCACAGCCGAAGGTGAAGAGTGTGGTTGGCATTGGCGTGCCATGGCAAAGCGGCAAAGCCAATGTTTCTTCACATTTCTCAACAAAGTCACAGTTAGCAAAAGAACTCGCTGAAGCACCAGGCCTTGCATATCTTCAAAGTCCAGTTGCTGTTGCATTGGCGAAACATGTGGACAGAGCCATGAGCTAAGGTGAGCCCTACAGCTTGGTAAAGACCTGAGCTTGAGGGGAAATAGCCCCCCGCTGCCATTGCCCAGTCTCTCAATTGTTCGGTGTGCAAGAAACCGTCACGCAGATCTTTCGGCTGATGAATGCATGAGCTGCGTGTGTGCTTCCTTGTGGAACCACCCATCTAAAAGCTGCTAAGCAGCTCTTCAGAATCGTGAGGCACAGTTTGACTGTCTCATAAGCTGCAACCCAACGCTGAGGCATCCACCAGAATTAAGCACACCAAAATTATCCAAACTGCTGAGGCCCAGCTGTAAGGCTCTGGAGAAAGCGCTGATGGCCCAGGCTCTGGGGTTATGTTTTCCCGTCAAACGAGGGAATGGCTGCCTCCCCGAGGAGACAACGCACAACTTTGCGCGCACATTCGTGCGCATGGCAGAACCCAGCTCGCTCCAAATAGCTTAAACTCGTCGCACATGTGGTGGCGAGGAAGCCGGCAAGTCTGGCTCATCTGCCTTCAAAATTGAAAAGCATAGCCCGCTAGCAGGTGTAGCAGCTCTGTGCAATCCGCAGAGTCACAGTCGAAGGCGCTTTTGACACTCGGCTTGCAACATGAAATGATCGAAACTGTGGAGCTCTGGCGCGTCAAACTGACTGTGGCTCTCGGCTCTTGTGCATGGCTGTGGAGCTGCCAAGACACGCGGTAAGACACGCGGCAGGGGTGCCATGCGCGGGTCTCACTAAGTCCTAGATCAGCGCGCTCAGTGCCAGTGTGATGGCCAGCACCTCACATCGGCCCGAGGAAGACGCCTCCACCTCCTGCACAAATATGACAAAGCAGAAACCTGCCCCAAATTGAAGGAAGCAACCTATGTCTTGGATGTTACAGCATGAGGAAAACCCATGCCTACCGCCAACTGTTCACTGGTGTTTTTGGAATCTCCCACACATCTGGCACTATCGGAGATGTCAGCTCATTGTATCCCCAAAAATCTCCTGCCAATTCCAGTTGGGATCATTGCCACCATGCCCTGATCCACCTGTGCCAGAACCTGTTCCGTCACTACCCATGCTGCCACTAGCTCCATCACCGCCGGTGCTGCCACCGTCGCTACCCGTGCCACCGTCGCTACCCGCGCCAGAGCTAGTTCCATCACCGCCGGTGCTGCCACCGTCGCTACCCGTGCCACCGTCGCTACCCGTGCCAGAGCTAGTTCCATCACCGCCGGTGCTGCCACTGTCGCTACCCGTGCCAGAGCTAGTTCCATCACCGCCGGTGCTGCCACCGTTGCTACCCGTGCCAGCGCCGGTGCTGCCACCGTCGCTACCCGTGCCAGAGCTAGTTCCATCACCACCGGTGCTGCCACCGTCGCTACCCGTGCCAGAGCTAGTTCCATCACCGCCGGTGCTGCCACCGTCGCTATCACCGCCGGTGCTGCCACCGTCGCTACCCGTGCCAGAGCCAGTTCCATCACCGCCGGCGCTGCCACCGTCGCTACCCGTGCCACCGTCGCTACCCGTGCCAGAGCTAGTTCCATCACCGCCGGTGCTGCCACCGTCGCTACCCGTGCCAAAGCTAGTTTCATCAGTGGTGCTGGTAGCGTCGCTACCCGTGCCAGAGCTAGTTCCATCCTCGCCGGCGCTGCCACCGTCGCTACCCGTGCCGGAGCTAGTTCCATCACCACTCCCACTCGCTTCTGGTGTGGAGGTGTCAGTCATGGTCAAGGAAGTCTGAGTCTGACTTGTACTGGTCGCTGACGTAGCAGTCACTGATGTACTGCTTGTCGTCAAGGTTGTGGATGTGCTTGTCGACCTCAGTGTGCCAAATTGGGCGCATGACACTGCGCAGAGTCATGAGTCATGCAAGGTGCTGCGTCTGCGAAGTGGTCGTTGCAGTCGTAAATGTTTGTGTTGAAGTTGTGTACGTAACCGAAGACGATGTACTGGTGGTGTGCGTGACGGATGATGACGTACCTGACTAAGTCATCAACTCCAAACCTGCGACGCGGATCCTAGAGAAAGCAAAGGACTTATCATTCCAAAAATAGAAAACAAACATGACGTGAGCACATAGAAAATCGAGAGGGGGTTCTAAACGTCTGCTCTGTTGTGAATCACCAAACAAATGTCTTTGCGCTGCAAATTGGCAGAGCCAATTTTCGGTTTTGAATTCTATGATTATAAACATTGACCACGCGGGCAGCACAAGGCGCTTTGCTGGTGTGGGGTTGGGTGAGGGCAGGATATCGTGTGGGCATACGAGCACAGTTGGCCAAGGGTGTGGATAGCAACCGAAATGCAAACAACCACCACCTGTGGAGAAAACAATTCGTTTGTCAAAGAAAAGGGGGTACAAGTGGTAGAGCGGGTCACAGGGGACTCGTCCAAGTACGGGTGCCAAGGGCCTGAACCACCTCGAAGTTTCGCATCTTCGTAGTGTGCTGTTGCTAGCCAAAGACAAACATGGACTCCAGCACAGGCCCTCAACCCCCATGTGCTATTGCTACTCCAAGATCCAAAAAGATGCTCATCGAAAGGCGGTGGTTGCACGCGAGAACTGAATGCAATCCAATCTCAGGCGTTCATGCGGGTCACAGGTGGAGAACGTGTTGCGCTTCAGGGCCCAGTTTTTAGAGTGTTTGCTAATGCCTCGTGACCAGCATCACAAAGGGCATGAGTTTTTTTGACGCAGAACACACTGGTCTGCAGCATCGGAGCTGGTTGTCACTGAGGCTGTGCTGGAGGTGCTGGTCACACCTCTGCAGAAACCGCTTGCAAGCAAACAAAGAGCTGCCAAAAACTGGAGAACTGAATCTTGGTGTGACATGTGATGGGCAAGGCCTCCGGAACTGGGGTCTGCGCTGGTGCTGGTTGCAGTAGAGCTTGTGGAGGTCAGAGTGTTACTGTAAGTCTCAGTGGTTGCGGAGCTCGACGTCGAGCTGATTGTGCTAGTTGAGCTCCTAGTAGAGGTCATGGTCGTGGTGGATGTCAGGGTTGCTGTTGTGGTGGTGCTGGTGGTTGGAAGTCCTTGGCTGCATCTTCCGTTCCGTCTGTTCCGTGCACTCCTTCTGTTCTGCACCCTGCCTCCTTCCAGGACAATGCTGCGATTGGCCCCAGGAGCGCCCACCACAGCTGTGAAGGGGCCCACGTTGCCTGAGCTCCAACTCGGTCGAAATTTGCTAAACCAATTAAGCAATTTGTGAAAATGACTGAAAGCTGAGCACGGTACTGTCCCAAATGCCCACCCCTCTGCCAAAGAACTGGCCCGCGTCTGCAGCGGAATAGGTCAACTTCTCCTGGGCGTGCGAAGAGATGAAGAAACTGGCAAAGAGACGGCATCCAACCGCTGACCTGGAAGGACCACTCACCCAAAGCTAGCTGGGCAAAGATGTATGCAGAGCCTCAAGCAGCACGTGTGTCGCCTTGATGAACGAACGCACTGGGCAGGGCACCGCTGTAGGTGCCGTCGTCGCTGTCAAAATATGACCCGACAATCAGCGTGTTGCCTGCCAGCCCAGGACACCTATGGCACACTTTCGAAGAGGTTTGTAACTCGGCCGCATTTGAAGGCAGCTACTTGGCGACTAAGCCACCTAAGAGTGGGCCAATAGCTAAGCGGTTACGTGGCTGTTTTGCTAATGAAAACACTGGAAAGAAATTGAAAGCTGGCACCGGAGTTTCAACAATTATGTTGGTCGTGACTACCCTCAGAATTTGAGGGTCCCTCGCGGTTCCAGGCCACAGAAAATCTTAGGAACCCTCAAAGTCTTGCCTTGTCCATCCTCTTTCTGGAGAGGACAAGAAGTGACCGGGGAGAGGCCGGGAACAGAACGGCAAAAGGCTATGAAGGCCGGGAAGAGGATGGGAAGAAGCAAGAATTTGAGGGTTCCAAAACAATTTGGGGGTCCCCAGAAATAATGTTCCTAAGAATTTGAGTCCGTAAGAAAATGAGGGTCCTAACATTCGAGGCTTCCTGAGAATTCGAGGCTTGTAAGATTTATGTCTCTGAATGCAAGAAGGTAAACTGTCTGCTAAACGCAAACCCTGCAGCCAAGCAGGGCTCTTGTGCAGTTAGGAAATTGAGGGGCCCTGAGTCTGACACTGAGGAGGCGACCCGTGTGCGTTTTCCACGCTGTCTTCGCCGAACGCGAAAACACGTACACACGAAAACGCGAGTTCGGCACGAAACACGAAAGCTAGAAAAGGGCAACAAACCCTAAAAAAAAACGGAACCAACCCTAAACCAGCCCCATACCAACGCGAAAGCAAACCAACCCTAAACCAAGTCGGAAAAATAGTAAAGGACAATCCAAGGAAATGTCCTATTCATATTTTCTCTAAGAGCAACACAACAAACAAGAAGAACCAAACCAGAACCACCAGCCAACAAAATAAATCAGAACAACCAGCAACAAAAACATTTGATCAAAGCATACAACAAACATTGAAACATTCAAGCGTGCCAACAAAACACAAACAAACAAAAGCATCGAAGAACCCAAACTCAACAACACACACCATCAAAACAAAGTAACATACCAACAAATTTAAAACAAATGTGGATCAAAACAAGACAAAGATCAACTACCAAACAACGAAAATACTGAAAGAGCTAAGGCGTTCAGATTTGGAAGATTTGAAAGAGACAAGCAACATCAAGAAAATAACCCTCAAATGCCTCGGTAAACCGTCGTGCCCGCCCCTATGCTTCGCGGACTTCCTGACCATCTTTCATTTACAAACCAACATACCTCCCCTGAAAACCGAATGACCCTGTATGTCGAAACCACATACCACCCCTGAAAAACGATTCTGTGTGTGTAAACAACATACCACCCCTATGTCGAAACAACATACCACCAAATAAAATCAACACGTCTAAACAACATACCTCCCCTGAAAAA